ATGCTCCCCAGCAGACCTGGAGTTACTTTCAGGCTACTTCCGGGTTTACTGCCAAGCATGCTGGAGAGCTGCTGCGTGCGTGCCGCCACCGCCCCCCGGGGCACTGCTGTGGGACGCTATCTGCCCCAGCACTGCAATCACAAGCCACCCTGCTACCTCAAGGTGTACAGGAAAAACTTTAAAAGCTGTGCCTGTCTGAATTGCTGATTTGCCGAATTGTCAGATTCTGATTTGGCTGAACTGAATCAAGGACAGTGATCCAGATCTGAATCAAATGGGGCCCATCTGGCACACCCCTACTGGACACCACCTAAAACAAAGCTAGTCTTCTCTGTAGTGTTTTAAAGTACAGTTAGAAGCGCTATGGGTATTGTGGCAAAGAGATGTTTAAATATGGAACAAGTCTATAATCCTGTACGATCAGGGTCGGAGTCCAGACCTTGTTAATGCATTGGGCAGCACCCAGCCATATAGTTTAAACTTGAGTCTTCAATTAAAAAAAAAAAAAAAAAAAAAACTTTTAACTAGTGGTCTAACACCACTACATATTACTGCAAACCAAGCCTTTGTGTGGTCCTTAAATGCTCCAGTTGTTAATACCTTCCTAAAAAAGCAGCCTAGAAAATTTTTTCTAGCCTGTCGGAAGCTGAACAGTCCCTGCTCCATGCTGCTGAACTCCTGGGTCAGTGAAGGTCTCTTCAGTCATCTTCTACTAGGTGTTAACTCTTCTGAGTAAATGAGCAAAACTTTAAATTCTCTATGTACTGTAGTCACCAAGGAGATGTTTGTGAATAATTCAAGAAATGACTACTCGTCTTGGAGCATGTCGGCTTGCTAGTAAACTAATCCTCTAGCTACACCTAGAAGCCTTTTTTGCACCTGGTACAGCATGAAACCCAATCTACTCTGAATTCCTGAGAAGGGCTGGAACAAGCTTAAGATTTGTCAAAATTAAATTGATGATTGGCTGGCTGAATGAGCTGATGCATTATGGCTACAATTAAAGGTGGACTGATATTAGTCCATATAAAATCAGCACCGAAAAGGAAAATTAACATTATTAGCAATCTGCTTTTTTGGCTGTTGTAGCCAATAATGTCACTGACAAGTGCCACATGCATACATGCAGCCAAAGCATGCATAAGGCCAGGAATGCAGCCTAGCAGCTCGGAGAGCAGCATCTGGCTGGTAAATCAGGGGGGTTGTTCAGATTGAGGCCCTCAGGGAGGGAGGGAGTAGGGCAGGGGCAGCCACTACCCAGCTAGGGTAGGATGCAGGATGGAGCCACAGGTGGCTCATATTGTGGGGTGGGGGGGGCAGCTTCTACCAAGAAGAGGCCAACACAGCCCCCGGCCACAGGCCTGCAGCAGGCAACCTGCCCTCACCCTGCACACATGGGGCAGGGGGGTGGTGTCCATGGCCCTCCATGCCTCCCCCAGGGGTGCATGCAGTGGCTGAGAGCTGTTCCCTTTGAGCTGCCCACAGCTCTGTCCTATGCCCCACCCCTGCCTTTGTGCCACTTGCCATGGGGGCCTCAATCTGCCCCCCTGGCTTACCAGCTGGATGCTGCTCTCCAGGCTGCATATTGGCAATTGGATCAATATCTGCCAATATGGCTGGCTAATAATCTGACATTGGTATTGGCCAAAAAAAAGTTCAGTGCACACCTAGTTACACTAGCTATAATTGTCCTGCCGCTTCCTAGAACGTGGCTGCCTTAAGTACCTTTTTTAATGCTGAATGCAAGAGTAGATGCTAAGAAAAAAGTGACTATTTCTAGCACAAATGCCTTTTTAATACCCAAGGGTATCAGAGGATACCATTTTTCTAAGTTAATGCAAGATTGCAATATACCTTATCTGTTCTGGCTAGTGATGTTATTCCTTTTTGTGATTCAGTCTAATTTCTAGCATTAAAAAAATAGATGTGCTCTTAAACAACCTGACAAAACTAAAGGCAAAGACCCTGTACTGCTGTGTGGCAAACACTAATCTTATATGCTTCAGAGCAGGCCCCCACCAGGGTTGACTTGGCAAGCCAAGGATTCATGAATGGCAAGGAACAGGTGTTCTGTTCTGTTGTGTTTTTTGTGTTTGTTCAAATCTGGGTGGGTAGCTTCTGCCAGTCTCTCAAAATAATAATAAAAAAAAAATGTAAAAAGCCAGCAAGTTTTCAGTTGGCTTTTGGATTGCCCTTGCTGTTGCACACAAGTCCTCCATTTTATAGATTTAAATTTGAGATCCAGATCTCGGGGGGGTGGGGGGGGGGGGGGGGGGGGTGTCAGTTTTTTGCCTTTTTGTTTTAACATCTGCTTCATTCCAAGCACAGACCTATCTCCTCTAATGGGAGCAAAGTAAACTTCAAAATCGCCTAAATTCAACTTGGTCAAACAATGTGCTTGAGCAACTTTTTTAATCTCACTTCCATAATGAGGCATCCAGTCTCTCTCTAAGAAGCTGCCTTTAAAAGCCTTAATGATCCAAATGCTAGCTCTTCATAGAATGGAGACCATTATCTATCTCTCCTCTCCCTTCCCCCAGTATTAAAGGTCTGGTTATCTATCACTTGAAATTGAAATGTCTTTCTTTTTAACCTACAGGAGCTTCCTTCAGCTGGGTGCTGGCTTGAGTGTGGGCCTCAGTGGTCTGGCTGCAGGCTTTGCCATTGGCATTGTGGGTGATGCAGGTGTACGGGGGACAGCACAGCAGCCCAGGTTATTTGTGGGCATGATCCTGATCTTGATCTTCGCTGAAGTCTTGGGTCTCTATGGCCTCATTGTTGCCCTTATCCTTTCCACAAAGTAAACACCATAGTATGATGTAAAGAAATGCAACAGAAACAAAACCACACTTAAAAAAAGAAATAACAAGCTCCAGAATGAAAATGGTCTCTCCAATGTGTACAGTTGTCTCAATTTGGTAGTTGATCTCTTGTAAATGCGCAATGTATGTTAGTGACTCGTCTGTCCTGTGTGTACTTCAATATTAAATTGGATGGGCTTCCCCAAGCCTGCTACCTGGCTTGGGGTTGCCTACGTGCAATTTTCCACCCATTTTGCTGTTAGAGTACTTTATGTATAAATATGAACTAGACTTGTAATTTTTCTCTTCACTGGATGTTTATTTATAAGACTTGACATGTTCATACATTTATGGAGCAAGAATTTTCAATTTCCCATGCTATATATATTAATCTTATATATAGGTAGATTATTACACTGTGGGGTCAATTGTAAGTGCAGAGAATTCCTTGGATGTAATTTGAATCTAAAGATTGCTGTAGTGTCCTGATATTGGAGTGTGAGAATTCTGTTTGTGTTTTACAGCAAGTGTCAGAAACACTCCTGTTTCCAGTAGTAATAATGTATGCTCCGGCATCAAAGTCGTGCACCCAGTGCTGGGTATTGCAGTTATACAATGTTTCCAAATAAAACTTCCTCCACTAAATGACTGTAACAGAGACTTTTGTGGCTTAATTCAGTGCATCTGAAATAAGTCTCCCACTCCCTCTATAGGGATGGGGAATCCCCCAACATAGGGACAGGCAGAATTCCAAGGTAACTTGAATAGTTAATAATGGAAGTTACTTTATGTTGTGGTGCTTCAATACTTATTTATTTTGTACAGTGGGGGGAATTATCCATGAGGGTTAAAAATGTCTAAGGTGGGGTGGAAAAGTGGAAAAAACTGCCTTGCACTGTATAAGAACTTGAAAAACAGAAGGCTGTTTTCATTTTGGCTTACTGCATGGTAGGCCAAGGATTGGAAGAGTATTGAGGTAGTGAATGCAGGTCAGCTCTTAGCTCCCCATAGTGAGGTACAACTAACTTCAGAGCGAGTACTGATGGAAAGGGTACAGACTAAGCATCTCCTATCCTGTAGAAAAAATACTGCTTAATATCATATGCAAGGTAAACGCGCTATAAAAATACAGGTGGAGGGTTCCTGATACTACAAAACAAAATGGTGAATTGAGGGAAGTGAAATATCTTCATTACATCATCCTTTGTTCATTTTCTGAGATACAAGAATATCAACTGTGTGATAGTAGTCAACAGGATGACATGACTTCCAATCATTTGGATGAGCAGTCTATCAAGCATAGAGATTAGCGGAAACCTAACTTTGGAACAGGATTCTAATTGCAGAATGCCATTAAGTCAAAATGCTGCTTTCTCTGAAGTGCTGTAACTGTTTAAAGCTGTCTTCTGGAGTTCTTGAATTTAAATGTGTTTTAAGATGTCAAAGTAGCTAGCAACAAAAAGCTCAAGCCTTGCTTTTTCAGAATAGAATTCTTGCAGGATTTTCCAGCAAATGCAAAGTTTTGTTTATTCCAAACTGCAGATTCAAACTTCTGTGAAACATTACGGTCTTTGCAAAACTAACTTCTTAAAAAAAAAAAAAAAAAAAAAAAAAAAGCATGTACTGAAACTAAAGAACAAGCATGAATTTGTCCAAACTTTTTTGCTGCTGTGGGTTGCTGCTTGTCAACCAGCCTTCTATTACAGCCTGCAAATCACTTTTTCCAAGCCCTCTTTTCCCCTTGCTACTGGTGAGTGTGGTTTGTTTGTTTGTTTGTTTGTTTGTTTGTTTGTTTGTGTCCTTCTTCCGTCCCTCCCCCCCCCCCCCCCCCCCGCCCCCAGTGGACAAGGTGGTTGGGTTAGATTTGACAGCAGAACAGAGCAAGGATGACTGAACAGTAGGGATAGAGGAAGGAACATAAGTGGTAGGGCCCTGGGGTTCTCTGATGCTCAGTCAAAACATGCTGCTGACTCTCTTCCCCCTGACCAGGTCTGGCGTGCAAAGGCTGTAGCTTGCTGACCCCTGGTTCAGATTCATTGTAAAACCTGAAAACATTTCTCACAGTTCTGGAAAACAGTTGAATTTTGTGTTCAAAAGTCAATAATGCTTTAGATTTGTACTGCAGCAAACTGAGAATAGGAGCTTTCTCTGCGACTGAGCTAGTGCCTCCTTTGGCAATTCCAGCATTGTAATTTAAATAGCTGCTTCCAGGTTAAAGTATATGTAGTAGCAAACTGAGCTGGGGGATGGGGTATCTAGTTTACAGTGGGGATTTTACAGGTGTATATAGTGATATTGATACAAACCCCTGTGGTGGGTATGCTCTTCCTGTGTAGTCAAAGGTTAAATCAAGCCACTTCTGAGGTCTTGTTTTGTAGTAATGTACCTAAGGCTGCCAAGGGGTGTCACCTTTTGATACCATGCTTCTTATGGTGTCACAAAACCAGAGTGAACAGACATCCTTCCCCCCGGTCACACTACAAATGCCCCAAATTGCGAGCATGACAACTACTTACAGTAGTTTGTGTTGCCTGTTCATTTATGGTGCAGGCAGCTCTGGATGCCTGCCCCTCGGGCATGATCCTGTGGGATGGCAGCCCTGGGTACTCTGCTTTGGCCTGGGGTATATGTTTGCAAGCAGAGCTGAGAAGCATGCATTTCATGCTTGGTCTGCAGTGTGAGATGTCCTGGAATTCTCTGCAGGTTACCTGTGAGGTTGGGGCCAGGCACCTGGGGTTATCTGCCAGGATCAGGCTCTGAGTAGCAGGAGCCTGATCCTGTAGGACAGTGGCTTCAGGTGCTGCTGGTCTGTGCCTATCTATTGGATTAACTGTTCTGGGACACATTTTGGCACAGCTGATTCTGCCAGAGACGTGTGTATAATCTAACATGTCAGATACGCTTTGTGAACTGTCCTGAGCCAATGCGTGCTGCATGCAGCCTATTCAACAGCAAGGATATCTGAAGTTTCTGAACCAGCTGTTGGGATGGAAAGGCTGCTGCACTGGGACTAACTCTTAGTAATAATAAGGTGACTGGTACAAGGAGTAATGGAATAGTCATCTTGTGTGTAAAGGGTTTAAATGGAGATGCACTACATCTGAATGACAGTCTCCACGTAGGTGGCTGGTGTGGTGCTTTTTAACAGCTCTTAATTTAGTGTAAGTTATAGCTTTATCAGTAACTGCTTAATGGGTTCCTCTTTATTGCCAAAAAACTAATGTTTGTTCAGGTTTCAGCTAACTGACTGGATACCTCTCTTAAATGTGTGTTCAGGGGTTGGTGCCCCTAATAATGTTTTACAATCAGTGTCTTTTGTTCATTTCACATATTAAAATGAATAGCTTCTACTAGCAGTCGAAGCTTCATACATGTGTCAACCTTCCTGGGGGGGTGATACATTGTGTTCTATGCACCAAAAAAAAAAAAAAGTGAATGTCTAGAACATATGGGGTACTACCTACGGTGCCACATTGCATAAGGAGGAATGATTTGCTAAAATGAGTGGCTTTGATCAGCTAAAGCAAGCAAATGGTTCTGCTGCTGGGCCAATGGTGTTAGAAACTAGAATATACATTTCTAGATGTGCGACTGTATTAAATAGTGTCTTAACACTTCTGCACAGGATGTCACTCAATGCATAGCTGTAAACAAAGCAGAATTTTTTTAGCAGTTTCCTGAAAGCAAAGCACTTAAATTTGTGTTTTCTAAAAATAAACATCCTTCAGCTCTGTTGGGGAGAGATTATGCAGATCACATAGCAGAGCTGGAGAAGGGCCAGACTGTAGTCAGGGAATATACATGCAAAATCCATTACATTCTTCAGGAAAAGCCTATTGTTAGGCTTCTCTCTCAGCAACTTGAAAGAATAGTGGCAAACTGTACACAACATAGTAATTGTAGGTGCTGATAGTAATCTTCTCAAATGTCTGTAAGGGAAACGAGCCACATGAAAATTTTCAGGCCCAGTATGGTTAGCTTTAGAATCTCTCACAGGAGGTGATGGGGTCACACCGCACTGGTTTGTGGCCTCACTCCTACATAATAAAATGCAGCTGTAATCATGTAATCAACATTGTGGTCTACACCTAATGTGCTAGCAAGCAAAGCATCTGCTTGTATAGGCAGTTAGTGCATGTATCAAACAAATGCTAGCTGAGGTAACATACCTACAAGCAGAAGGTGCATTGTTAAACTAAAGAACAGTCATAGAGTGGCTCTGAACTTATTTTTGGCCTGCAGCGTTCCACTGTTGGCCCTGGTTCTGTTGTTTATGATTCCCAGGCAGGAATTAGCTATTCACATCCTTTGTGTGTCATGTCAGCAGACGTCGCTAGTGATTCAGATCATTGAGAGCATTATGGACCATTCAGTCTTTCCTTCACTTCCAGCAATGTACTACATCAGAGAACTGACCCTACTCACTAGGGGCTGATTTTATTCAACCAGGGTGTCCTGAGTCTGAAAAAGCACAAAGGAGCTGGATTGCCCAATTCTGAGGGTGGTGAATGTGGGTGTATATGTAGTGCTTTCTCATGTAGCAGATTGTGTGCCTGTTACCATACAATTCTGCAGTAGGCAGAGGATGTCTGAGTGGTGAGTCAGCCCTGCAGAGAAATGAGAGCAAGATTGTAATAGAATGGTGCCGCAGCATCATTCAAGGGAGAAGTGCCCATCAGCAGTCAGGCCAGGCTTTCAGGCTAGGAAAGGGTAGTAGGTGCCTGATGTCAGATGCTGCCTGCATAAACAATACCATTGTTTAGCTGGCATTCCCTCTTCTCCCTTAACTCTGATATTGTCTGCTTCCCTCGGAGATCTAGGATGACCAGGCAAATTAAAACTTCAGTGGTTTGCTGGAGTAGCTAAATAGATGCTTGTTTAGTGATTGACCAGGGCTTATTACCACCTGTTTTCTAGGACCCTTTCATTGAGCTGGAATCTATATTAAAATGAACTGTAAGGAAATAAATCTCCTATGTAGGTGAATGGCTCTTAGTTTCCTCATAGATACATGGATGCCCCTATGGGAGATGTATTAATGCAGATGGGAAATGAGATCCAGGGCCTTTTTCCACTGTACCAACTACAAAACTTAAAAGTATTAGCTATAACTTGAGTAGAAGCCCAGTAGCTGGGGTAGGAAGA